GACCTCCGAATCATGCATCTCTAAAAATATTTATCAATACATTTTAGTTGCAAAAATAGCCACAAAACACCTGGAGTGTGACCTTATTGTGAAAACAGGTGATTGACTGTCTTATATTTGGAGCTGCCATATCTTAAGGCATACCCCTCACTTTGCTCTGTCCCCACAGCCACCAACAGGTCTAGTAAGGTCAGCTGTCCCTTCCCAGTGCTCCAGGGGCCCTTATCACACTAAATTGTCATCTGTTGACAAACGTCTGTTGGCATTTCTCTCTCCACTACTGGAGTGGGAACTCGGTCTGATTCATTCTGCTGTCTCAATGCTATAGAGGAGGCATCAGGAGTGTTTGTTGGAAGAAGGGAAGAAAAGGTGGAAAAACAGCAGGTCCGGCCTGGCCTGTGCCAGCGGCTAGCAAGGGCACTCCCCTTCTCTGCCTGCAGCAAAGCAATTACAGTATCCCTGCCACCTCCCTGAAGAAGGGACATCTGGAGTCCAGCTCTCCTGCCTCAACATCTGGGTCCCATTAGAGGAGCCCATCAGCAAAGGGGAAGCAGGGTCTGCAGAGAGAGCAGTGTCCCGGCCTGGTTTCCCCCTGAGGGACAGAAAACACGAGGCTCTGGAGCGGCTGAGAGTACCTCCCAGGCGAGCAGGAGAATAAGACAGAAAGGCCCAATGACTAAGGTGGAGCCAATGGATGGATACTGGGGATGAGAGCTCAAAAGACAAGACCGCAGGTTGTGGGATGGAGTTCAAAGTGCACTAAGGTGAATGCTTATTAAGTACCAGCTGTATGCTTAGGGGCAGGCTGGCTGACTCAAACGCTGGAGAAGAGCTAGTCAGACATCTAACATAAGAAACTACTGAGTAAAAATTTTAAAAAGTTTAAAGAAAAGGGATAAAGTTTCATGCATGGATCAGATTTGATGCTGCAAGTCTATAAATCTGCCTACGTTCAACTGTGGAAGGGGCTTCACTAAGCTATATTTTTATACCTTCTATATTCACTCGAGGTCATTACAAGGAACAATGAAAACTGTGTCGGCATTTGCTGTTAATCTGCTGAGAACATTCTCCACTATTTCAATCAAATAAGTGTCCACTTGAGAAACTTCTTCTATAACTTAAACCCAGGAAAATTTTTCTCCCCCAAGGAATCAATTATCAGAATAGAAGGAGTTTTTGCTTTGGCTACCAGGAAGCTCAGCCAACATTCGATTCTCAATCATAGCCGCCATGTTAACCCATATTAACCAAATTACATTCCTCCTTTGGATAACAGCATGTCCCATTTCTACAGTACAATATTCTTGCCTTTTAAGAAATGTTTTGAGTACTTAAAAGACTAGAAAGACATCTGTGATGGGCACAGTGATGTGCCACTCATTCCCCTTCAAGGAAGCACTTGTTTCCGGGAAACCTGTCAGCTCCCTAAGACCACCGTGGCTGCAGACAGCTGTCTGGCCGAGGCTGTGCTCTTCCCAAGACAGCCCACATTCAATGGCTTACTGAGGTGCTGCAGCAGAGCTCCCTGGGGGGCTGGCTGAGGCTGTCACCAGGCCTGAATCACAGCTTAACTTCTCCCTGCATCCCCTCCTGTTTCCTTCCCTCCCTTCCACAGTGTTGATCCCAAGGGCACTCCCTAAAAAATGTTCTGCACACTAACCTCTGTCACAAAGCCTGCTTCCCGGCTGGGACTCCCCCCCAAACTCCAGGCACAGGTACTGGCATAGCCGGAGCATGCTGAAGCATGAGTGTTGACAGAAATAGGCCCAAGCCGGGCTAGCTTTGGTGATGTCATCTGTGTGGGCCTTGCGTGGGTGCTGGGCTGCTCCCTCCCAGCCAGCGCTGCTGCAGGCACTGCCAGTAACACCCACGTACCCATATATATGCGGAGCTGGGGGAAGCCCATACCAGTCACACCCTCTGCACACCCTGCTTTTCCTGAACCTACTTTGGTTGGAGGGAGGCACCTGAGACCTGGGAAGCTGGCTCAGAAGTCCCAGGAAAAAATGGGGCCCTGTTTCCTGATTAAGAGCCTGGCAGCAGACTGAAAACTTGAGATCCTGTTGGCAGGGATTTCTGGAGCCCCCGGAGGCCCGGACCCAGAGGCAAAAGTAAAAGCAAAAGCAAGGAAGCATGGGCTACATGTCGGGAAGCTCTCAGAAAATGGAAAAATGGAGATTTTTAAAAAGCATCACCACCCACAGGCTGCCCAAGTTGGCCCAAGAAGTAAATGAGGGCTTCAGCACTTAGGAGGCCTCCTGGAAAAACGGATTAGATCAGATAAGCAGGGAGGGGCCCAGTCAGCCCCAACCTGTCTTCCTGGCCTCATCACCTCCCGTGTTCCCTCTCCTTTAGTAAACTCTAGCCTTCTTTCTATTCCTAAACTTACTAAGCTCTTTCTGGTCTCAAGGCCTTTGTACATGCTGTTACCTCTGCCTGGAAAGTACTTTCCTCCAACCCACCTCTAATAATTCACCCAGCCATCTCCTCACATCCTTTAGGCCTCTGCTGATGTCTTCTTGTCTACTAGATCTCAGGTAAGTCTCCCTAATGTTTTAGCTCATAGCCCTCTGTTCTTTTTCTCCATAGCCTCCATGATAATTGTCCCTACATAACAAAGTGTTTGTCTAATGTCTGTGAATTCCCAGGGCGCTGGTGCTGAGTTTCTCTTGTTCTCCTGACTCATGGTTCCAACACCTAGCACAGAGAAGCTCAAGGCCGCAGACAGGGGCAAGCACCACTTCAAGCACCAGCAAGCCCAAACCACAGCTGTGAGCACTCAAGTTCTGCACTCAGGTTTCCTGTGCCCAGGGCCAGCCACTCCCAGCCTCCCCTCACCCTTGCTGATTAGCCAGCTAGCCTCTGTGTCCACTGTCCACTGACCACCAGCACCTACTGAAGCCAGTGGCTTTCCTGTGAGGCAGAAAATGCTTGGCCTCAGACAGATTTGGGTTCAAATCCCCACTTGTTAGTTATGTGGCCTTGGGGCAAGCTGTAGAACTTCTCTGAATCTCAGTTTCTCATCAGTAAATTGGGAACAATCATCCCTGATTAGAGTAATTATGAGGATCAGGTGTGACAACATGTTGTAAACCTTGTAATGCTGGGCCGGGCATCGGGTCAACTTTCATTCTCTCCCTCCTACTTTAAAGGCCTGTCACTAGGTGGCAGTCCATCTCAGCCACTCCCCTTCAGCCTTGGGTGGCTGAAGCCTACTAGCACAAACACCTCAACTGCAGGCTGAATTCTCAGCTCCTTGGGGGTTGCACTTGAGGGGATCAAAACACACACACACACACACACACACACACACGCGCGCTACCACTACAGCAAGACAAAGTCAGAGGTAGCCCCAGACACTAGTTACCACCCAGATGGGGGGAAAGCCCGAACACACACTTATATGTACTCACACATTCCTGGAAGCCTGGATCTTTCTCTAGCATCAGCTGGGTGCTCTGCTGAGCCTCTTACCTCTGACGTGCAGTACGTTGTCCTGCTCTGTCTGGCTCTGCCTGGCTCAACATCCGTCAGACAGGTTCCACTGTGACCGCAGGTGTCTTTAGTTTGGGCGGTGTTCTGTGACAGGGGCAGCTAGATTGCAGGGGTGAATCTAGGGAGTGGCTGCTGGAAGACAAAGAGTGGGAATTATTCAAATAACCAACAAAAGGCCTTGTGGCTGGAGAATGGAGTGAAGGGGAGGTGGTGAGAGACGAAATGGGTGAGAAAGGGGCCAGACCACATAAGACCTGCTGGGTCAGGCAGGAAGAGTGGATTTTGTGTGCCGTGGGAAGTTATGAATGGTTTGAGGCTGGAGGTAGGGAATCATGATTTAATTTAATTTTAAAGACTAGAGTATAGAGAATAGATGCAGGCAAGACCAAGGAGGCTAAAGAGTCTGTCTGAGAGAAGATGGGCCTTGAGCTCGTGGGTGGAGCAGAGATATCCCAAGGTAGAGTGAACTGGACTTGATGGATTGCTGTGGGGTTTAGGCAGAGAGAGGAATCAAGGGTATCTCCAATGGTTTTGGCCCAAGCATCTTAGAGGAGTTTAATGCCACGTTCTGAGAATGTGAAGGCTATGGGAGAAGCAATTTGAAGAGGGAGGTGAGATGTCTGTGTTACGTGGGGACGTGGAGCAGGTAGTTGGATGTGGGGGAGATACAGCTTTGGCACTAGGGTGCCTGGGTTTGGCGGGGGAGGGGGGACGGGGGGTGACGCCATGGGAAGGGTCAGGTCGCCTTGGGAATTGACTCAGGACCCACCGCAGAGAAAGAGAAGCTTCTGGAGGTCGAAAGGCAGAGGCCAGAGAGGGAGGAGGAAAACAAGGGGAGTCGGGCCGGGAAAACCAAAGCTCCGGAGAGCATCTGCAGGAGGGGCGCAGTGAGGTAGGGCCTGAGCCCGCATCCTGCTGCGTGGAGACGCAGCGTGCGGTGCGGAGGACACTGGTCCAGGCAAGGGACAGAGGCGAAGGCCACTGGAGGACTTGCAGTGGATGCTCAGGTCTGGGGGACTACTCCGAATATCGGGAACACCCAAGGCCACACTGGCCACTGGGCCGGGACAAACGTGGGTCCAACAATCTTAGGAGCTGCCCGCGGGCCGGCCCTGGGCGGCCAGAGGGGAAACACGGGATAGGCCAGCTGTCCATCAGAGCCTGACGACCAATCCGCAGGAGGCCCCGCCCCCGCCCCTCCCCAGAGATGGAGCGCGGAGGACCCGCCTCCGCCGCCGCCGCCGCCGCCGCCGCCGCGGGTGTGAGGCGAAGCGGCCTGGCCTGGTTCCCTCCGCCGGGCAACCCGCCCAGGTACTGGGTTTGGCTGGCGGGCCCGGGGGGCGCTCCGCACCCTCACCTCTCCTCCCGGTCGCTGCGCGGGCGGCGCTCCGGAAGCGGGCTTGAGGGAACTGCTGCGGCCGGGCCTGTGCGGGACAGTGGGCTGGGCAGCCGGCGTGTGCGACTGACGGCCGGGCCGATGCGAGGCTGCCGCGCGTGACGGGGCCGGCCGTGGCCGCCAGGCTGTGTCCGGGGCCGCGTGAGGTAGCTCTGCGGGACGAAGGGACTGGCAGGTCGACCGCGGGCAGCGCACGCGCGCCCCCAGCCGGGGCTTGTCCGGGGGTCGCGGGGCGCAGGCGCGGCGGCGGGCGGCGGGCGACGGGCGGGGGGTCCTCCCCACGGGCGCGCGGTCGCCTTTGTTCCAGGCGCGCGGGCCGAGGCGGGGCCTGCAGGGCCGCCCCGCCCCCCCGCTCAGGCCCCGCCCCGTCTCCGCCCGCAGGAGCCGCCGCCGGGGTCTGCTCGCCCGCCGCCTCCGCCGCCAACAGCTCGCTCCCGGCGGGCCTGCGCCGCGGCAGCCTGTACCGCCCCCAGCGCCGGAGCCATGGCGGGCGCCGCGTCCCCCTGCGCCAACGGCTGCGGGCCCGGCGCGCCCTCGGACGCCGAGGTGCTGCACCTCTGCCGCAGCCTCGAGGTGGGCACCGTCATGACTTTGTTCTACTCCAAGAAGTCGCAGCGGCCCGAGCGGAAGACCTTCCAGGTCAAGCTGGAGACGCGGCAGATCACGTGGAGCCGTGGCGCCGACAAGATCGAGGGGGCCAGTAAGTGCGCCCCCCCTCCCTGGGGCCCGCCGCGCGCGCGGGGGCGGCGGTGGTCTGCGCCCAGCTCCCGCGCGCCTCGGGTCGCCGCTGAAGAGAGACTTGGGCAAACTTTCGGGCTTTCCCCCCACACCCTGTGGGCCCCGCCCCCGCCTCGGCCCGGGTGGTCACCGGGGGCGGGGGGCATCCGGGTCCTCAGTCACCTGACGGGACACCCCCTCCCCCAGCCGGGGGGGCGTGTTCCAGGCTCTGCCCAGAGGCCTAAAAATCCTAGCGGGTTGGAGACCAGCGAGGCCGGCATCTGGTCCCCCACAGCCCGGGAGCGGTGTCGGCCGAGGCGACGGGAGCCGAGGCAGCGTGCCCCCCGCCAGCCCCAGAACCGGGGCCAGACCAGATGCGCGCCCTTTCTCCAAAAAGAGCAGCCTACGCGAAACTCTGGGCCTCCTGGCTGGGCTCATACTTGGAACGGAACGTTTGGGTTCCCTGAGTAGAACTTAGTTGTTACGGGAGGGCTGGTTTTGGAGCGGAACCGGGCCTACGCATCTCCGTCACGGGGAGAGGGAGGAAGGTGGTCCTGTTCGGTTTGGAAAAGCCTGAGGGGAGGCAGTGGCTGCTTTTTCCCGCCGCTTCTTTTGTCCCGAAGCTGAATTTTGGAGGTCTGTGTGCGTGGGCAGACACCCAAAGCCGGGGCAAGGAGAGGGGCCAGGCTCCCCTTGTCCTTGGATGCACATTCTCAAGAGCTTGGCTCCCAGAAGGCCAGCCTCACTGCTTTGTGTCAGGTACTGTTCAAGAGCACGCAGCCAAATTGGGGTCTAGCCCTTTGTGTCCTATGGCTTGTGTCCTGTAGCTGGAGGGAGCCAGGAGTGGCTACTCTTGATTTCCTGCCTCTTTGCCTTCCCAGGCCTGACCTTGGCTGCTTTTGCGAAGGAGGGAGGTGGGGGATTTTGAAAAACCCCAAATCCCTCAGTGTTATTCCACTGAGTGCGTGCTTGTGCTGTGGCCGGATGGGCCCCCAGCTCTGCTCTCCGTTCCCCCGCCTCCAAGTGTGAGGGGTGATTTGTCTGCGGGTTGCTTCCTGCAAGGACCCCCAGAGACTGATGTTAGAGCCAGGTTCAGAATTAGGTCCACGTGTAGGAAGGGGGTTCAGGAAGTGACACCCCCAAGGGAAGGTCCCACAGACCTCCTTGGCTGTGGTGTACCTGCCTGAAGATGGCTGAGAAGACTAGGAGGAAGGAAGGTCTTACGGTGAGGCAGCCGTCCTCAACTACAAACTCCAGATCTGACACAGCTGTCGAATTTCCACACGGCAGCCGCCTTCCTCTGTGCCCCCGTCGGCCCTGTCAGCCATTGGGAGAAAATTTTAGTTATTTGAGAGACTGGATTCCAAAGTGGAGGAAGGACAGACACTGCAGAGAGCTAGGATGGCCCTGGAAACATCACCCAGGCATCAGACTCCAGGCGCAGCCCCTTCCATGTTTCTGTAGTGCTCTGTGTGCTCTCCTGAATTGGTAGCACGGGCTGGAGGTTCCCAGATAGACTTCTGGGTAACAGGCTGCATTTCAAACCGTGCTCATGACCAGCAGGCAGTAAGTGCAGCACAGTGGTTGAAGGCAGGGTTGGATTTGAAGCCCGTGTATATTGTGTATCCCCTGTAGCTAGCTACTTCTCTGAGTTTTAGTTTCCTCATCTGCGAAGTGGGAGTAATAATACATCCACTATATTTTGTTGCTCTGCGGGTTAAATGAGAAGATTAAAACAGCACAGTGCCCGACACATTGTAAATGTTTAATAAGTGTAAGCCGTTATTAATGGTAACAATAATAGAGTATGACTGCTCTCCTGGACTGGGACTGTGTGGCTGCAGAAGAGCGTGAGGGTGAGGGTGTCGGAAGGGAGGAGGATGGGGCCCCAGTTCCCATTTCACTGAGATCACTACCCGGAGATGGGAGGATATGGTTTTATTTTGCCCTGACCCAACTACTGAGCTACCCACCTACCATGTAGAACAGTGGATAGAGTAAGTATAAGGAGATGTGCACATCTGGCTCATGAATGGGTAACTTTCTCGTTTGTAAGTTGGGGCATGTACAGAAGTAATGGGTGTGGAGAGGCAAGAGGCTAGTCCACGATGTCTCAGGTGTTTGGGGATGGAGGCAGGAAT